TTCTTTTAACATATTTGGTACACCGCAGTCGTGAAGATGTGCAACAAGCCTTCCGTATTCCTCGTCGATGTTGTCAATGACAGAATCCTTCCTGCTGCTCAGCTCTGGAGCTAGGTCATTCATCATATTGATCTTACGACCTAGGAAGCGAAGCCCCAAGACCACCATCAACTGGGATCACTTCACTTCTCTCGCTGGGCTCTGGGAGGATTCTGTCATCGACAACATCGACGAGGAATACGAAAGGCTTGTTGCACATCTTCACGACTGCGGTGTACCAAATATGATAAAAGAAAGTAGTACACTTACTAAAACCTACCGTCTATAAAATCGGTTGTTTTATGGACTACAAGTACATTCGAACAAATCCATCAATAAGTTTCCCCTCTTCGGCAAGAAAGTACAAACATCAAAATTAGAGATTATTTATTCGATCAAGAATCCGACAACGGCTTCTTGTTAGAGGTGATAAGTCATGGCATAGTTGAGTAGATTGCGATGTGAACTGTGATCCACAAAATACGGACAAATGATGAAAGTTGCAATTAAATCATATCTATGTTCAATACTGCGCCAAATGTGACGTCAATGGGACACAAAACAATTCCAGGCACAATAAAATGAAAGAGTTCAGCCGACAACGGGAGAATGTAGTTATAAAAGGAATTTAGCAAAGATAGCAATGATAGGCTTCGGTCATGAGGTATAAAACAATAACTGAGAACCGTGTCAATGGGCTGTCGCCTCTTCTAGCAAGTGGCGTAGTGCGACGAGCGCAACAGGGATCTATATAACAATCTACGGAACGAAACAATTAGGTAGAGGGTACTTCGAATTACACTTATAGTCTACTACATAAATAAAACAACGCTAATCACCGAATAATTTCACTGTGCTTGCTGTCTAGAAAGAAAATATGAAGGTAGCTATGAATCAGTCAAAACTTTTTGCCGAATGAGCAGAACTCTGGGGAGAAGTGGAACAGCTTGTCGGAGGAGGGGTGAGCAGACCTGATGCAACAGCAGCTTGCGCGGAGCAGGATGGAGATAGTGGTGGTAAGGAAGGATAAGTCTAAATCAATGGTAAGTAGGACAGCATAAAAGAGAGGATGACACGAAAACATAACCCTGACAAGTTTTTTGTTAATCCGTAGAGCTATAGGGCACTATTGATCCTTGACTACCCAGCGTCCGAAAGTCAAACCATATTTTGAATGAATGCTCCCTGTAGTCCGGAGCTTCGTCTACTGGAGCGGCCTGACCTCCCCCCCCCCCCCTTTGATGCGAAAAGGACCGGCACCGACGCCGAATTACTCAAAGCCGTAGCCGACGATCTATTAGAATAATCTAAGCTCTTAGTAGGAAGAGGTACTGTGGACTGCAACGAACAACCTGTTCACGTTAGAAAGTGGTAAAGTAGCGACGATAAGGCAAAAGGTTGCTCAAGTGACTTTGCCTACGTTGATAAATGTCCTATCTGCTATCTTGCTCGTTTGCATGCTCTCTCGCTGCTTTCTGCTGCTTTCTCTGGCTTCTCCATTAATATCCACGTCGATTCTTTATCTGCCACAAGTAATGTCTCTTTTGGAACGCTTCAGACGCTTTCCTCTCCTGTTTTCCCTTCATGGGTGAGTCGGGTAGCATATACACTTCTGTCTCCAACCTTACTTACTAAGGGCTAGAAACAGGAGTGTAGTGAACTTGCTCCTGAAGAAAAAAGAGAGGAAACCGTCGAAAACGCTCCAAACAAGGCTCTTCTTGTGCCATGCGAGAGACAAAGAATTTATGTGGATATTGGACGAGAGGCCAGAGAAATTAGGGACAAAGCATGTAAATAATCAGGACCACGCCAGCACTAACGCCATCCCCTATCAAAGTGGGCGAGGTCACCCAGCAAACTTGTGCCTTATCGTCGCTAACTTACCATTTTCTGACGTGAAACTTATGCAGGGTTGTTCGTTGCAGTTCACACCATCTCTCCTTACAAAGAGCTTAAATAATTATAAGTGATGGTTGGATCTGCCTTAAGGGGCCAGGAAACCGTCGGGGCAAGGTTCAGGTCTACCGCTAGGGCAATCAAAACGTGGTCTGAGTTTCGGTGTGGAGCAGCAGAGGGTGCACGGTGGCAGCATACAAAGTGAAACGACTACAAATAAACCCGAGGGGCCGTGCTCCTCATGGAAATTTTCCATAACCATATGGGATTGGAGGTAACTACAACACAAACTTGCAAAGGATTCTACCAAGTAAGAAGCGAGTAAGCCAAGTGGGACTAAATTAGAAAGCACTTACCCCTACACTAGCGCCTCGTACACCCAGATGCCGTTCGTATTCAGTAAGTTGCCCCATGAAATGAAAATTTGGAGCAATGCTCGCATTTCTGCGTAATACCAGGTCGTATGCGTCTTCCAAGCTCCATCTAAAAAAATAGAAAGATGTTGTTTTTTTTCAAATAGGAACAAAAATTTTGAAGGCAACAAACTTACTTGTTCTTCGCCATTAAATAAGCGAGACAAATTGTGACACTGCGCGAAATTCCTGCTAGGCAGTGCACCAGGCATGCGTCACCGGCACGTGCAGCTGCATCGATGAAGGCAATCGCTTCTGAAAGCAAATGGAATGACACGACTTGTTCAAGGAGCACAATAAGGAGCTAACTCACCAGGGAAGTATTGCGAAAGATTATGGGAGCTATTATCATCAACGGATATTCTCAAGTAATGGTACGCCGGATTGTCCTCGAATGTGTTCGGAAGGTTTGAAGTGACATTGATAATATAACGTGCGTTATTGCTGAAACCAAATAATGCTGATCATTTCTAATTTCACTTTCATTAACAGAGCGCTCAGACTCTGCGATGGCGCGCTACAACTGCAACAGTGCTCCAATGCTAACGACGCGAACGCAGCCGCAAACGGAGATCGATCGGCGCCGGCCGCTCTGTTCCAAGGGAGTATGGGGAGCAGGGTACAGCATCGTGATGTATTAAATGGTGGCGTCAATGCGACCCCCCTACCTGAGTAAGGGTCTCGGTACGACTCCCGCCCTTCCCCAGCACCTACCTATAAATTTCCCATATTTTTGATTTCTTCCGTAGACCGGAGGAGGGTACAAATGAAATAGGAAAAACCGCGAATAGCCTACAACAGGGAAAAAATTCTTCCCAATGCGGCAAATTTGTTTAAGAGCCACATATGACCCCCCCCCCATGTATTTCACACAACGATGCTGTACCCTTATGGAGAAAAGGAGGATATGCGTTGTTTAATCACGCACCTGGTATCAATTGGCCGCTGGTGCTTTTGAAGAGTATAGAGGAGTGACAGGGCATCCTATTATTCGGAATGATGCACCCACCCTCTCCTAACATACACTATCTCAAAACGGTCAGTGCCGTTCGATTCCCAAATGTGGCTGCGATCGCGTCTAAAGCATTGGGCGCAATTGCAGTGGTAGCTCTCGTCGATACGGGTGATTGCGTAGTCTGAACTCTGAATAACGAGATGCACACATTTCCTGAGATTGTTTCAACACACTGCAAGAGCAGTAGTGCGAGCATTTCCGCGTAATTTTTTAGAAAATACCTAATCTGTCGGTTATGTCAGCGATGATAAAGCATTTTATTTAATGGGTTCGTGGACGTACACTGTGTATTTTCTCTCTCAAAAAAAAGCAAATTCTGTTGTGCGTGTGAGCTCACGCGCCACCTGGTCCCGGATGCGTACCTAACAAAGTGTAGTTCGGAACATCCGAGTAGCAGCATAGCTCGCTACAAGCAGAGCTTTTCCTAGCTAGTTGCTTTTGGAAGCTATAGCACTGCCATTACAACAACTGGTCCTGGTGCAATGACTGGGATGTGACACCGTCAACAAAGGCTTGCTCGCGCTTTTGCTCGGCTGTGCTGAGTTAACTAGCAATGCGACTTGAGTATGATGATAGAATAGAACCAACATACATGGACTAATCGTCTGATAATTCCAGAGATTTTGAAAAAAGATCTTAAGCCATTTTACATTGAATCTACAGACTCCCTTAGGGCTTTGTAAGCGTTGAAGCGCAGTACTTCGAAAGAGAAAATAAGTAGTTGCAGTAAAAAAGTCGCAGGCTTTTATGTAGTGTTCTGTGAACGATGGAATATATACGTATTCTAGTTCACTGCATGAGTGTGCGCTTCAATGGGGTTAATCGCGTGATAAAGCACGAGCTTGTGACGTGGAACTCTATCTTGTACGCGGCATGTTCCCCTATGTTAAATTTTTCGGGGGGGATTACTTGATAACCTACGATATAGACGATATTAAGCTAATTTTAATGGTGAAAATGCGGTATAAAGAAAAATGAGTCCTGACTCGTATGTTATTTATTAATACTGAGAACTCATTCGAATAGACCCCTTCACGTAGCTCGTACGTTAATGGAATCTCCATGTGGACGTATCTTGATATTTCCGTTCTTCTCTCATTGACCGAAAAGGTAGCACCTCATTTTTAGATCTCAGTAAACTATTACTATTATCTTGCAAGCACATTGCCATACACCACTTGGTCACATTTACACTTGTTTTCGGGTTCGATGAATTTCCACGTTACTTGCTTCATCGCGGTAGCTTCCGGATTGCTTCTTGCAGGATCAAATATTAGGTGACGGGAAATTTCGCCACAGGTGTTTTGATGACCATATTAGACTGCATAGTTATATTAATCGTGGGTTGCATGAACAGAGAGACTCTTCACATCACTACCTCACACTCACCCAGCTTGCATTTGGATTCCAAAATGCCGCCCAAGTTTCAACCCGACAGGATGCACCTGAGGCACTGTCTTCTTTTCCTTCATCAGTCTGGCTTAAACGCAAAGGAAGCCCAAGCCAAGATAGTGGATACATATGGCGCTGACGCTATCTCTTACGACACGTGCAAGACCTGGATGGCCAAGTTCAAGAAAGGAGATTTTTCTCTCCAAGATGCTCCAAGGTCCGGCCGGCCGATGGAGTTAGACTTGAAGTTGCTGCAATCCACCGTGGAAGAGGATCCGTACGCCACTACCAGGGAACTTGCAGCGATGCTCGGCCATGCCCAATCAACTGTTGAATCTGGGCTGGAGAAGATTGGTAAAGTCGCAAAGCTTGGCCGTTGGATTCCTCACCAATTCAATGGCGGGAAACTTTCCGGTCAACCTAATACAAAGCGCTCCTCACAAAGCTTCGGAAACATGAATTCGCATCAGAAGCTTAAAAATTCTCAGTTTTTAAGAGAAGACGAGATCTCGAAGGATGAGATTCATTCTCAGAAAGTAGGGGAGGGGCAGCAGAAAGGACAGTTCGCTTATGGATTTCCGCGTACTCTTAAAAACTGCCTCCTACAATTTGATAGGGTATGTGGATATTTACATCAGGGCATTGGCATCAATACTTGTATCTTCAGAATGAGTCGAACAGGTGGAGGCCTATAAGGGTTCCCAGTGAACTTGACGTTCTGCACTGGGAGGACCAAAGCATGAACTTTAGGTCGAAGCCATAGCTATGAAATTAACCTGTCTTCGAGTGAATCAACTGGAAATCACGCGGCTGCCACGCTTTGCGCTCAAAACTGTAAACCTGCTTGAGCTCCATGGTGCAGATGGACGCCTTCACCTCACTGTGAAGGTAGAGACAATGAGCGAGAGCTTGTTTCTGATTATGAATGAGAATCTCAATAAAATTTTACCAAGGGTACTGTTTACAACCTGCCATAATATTCAAACAGACTTTGTCAGTGCGCACCAAAGACAAACTACTTTTTTCAGGGTCACGCGTACGATTACAAACATTACTAGTAAGCTATTCCTTCACTTGCCCGAAAGTGTCATTACATCCTACATCTTTGAGCAGCTGTCTGATAACCAGAAAGCTAAAGAAGTCAAGGACGCGCAGATGTTGCGAATCAAACAAAAAGCCACGGGCTCATTATAATCCATTAGACTTTTTCAGCAAGATCCCAACAGATACAAAAAGTCGGTAATGTACAGTAAACCCCTCAGTTTGTCTCATATGATAGATATGAATCCTTCCCGAAAACAGGGTGAATCAGACTCGAGAAAACGGAGAAAAACTCTACTCTTATCTCAGGATCTTCGGTAAACAAATAATGAGTGCTTTCAATCAAAGTTCCGATCAAGAAAAAAACTCGTGAAGGATCTATTGTTTACGAAACCTAGGCAGTCAAACCCTTCTGACTTGATTTTCGACATCTTCGAAATCCACACTAATCCATTATGCTTCTTTCTCAAAAAATCGAAAGTAACCCCTCAAAGCCCTTTCACTGTGTGCTCGATATAAAAGCGCTCTTTTCATTTCTGCCGCACACATTGACTACTGGTTCGTGGAAAACATTAGTGAAGTGAAGGCGACAACAATAAGAAAACCCTACTGTTATTGTTTGCGAGCACCCACGGTGCTAGCGCTCTTTTTTTTCATAATAAAAGATGTTTTCAGAAAAGATTTGACTATGAAGTAATGTTCAGTGCAGCGCTGCTCTCAGAATGTTGACCTATCAGGGCACGTCTTGTGGGGAATATTTTCAGAATGCGACCCCTCAAAGCCCGTCAAGTCCCTATCCTCCAAACAAAAAAAAAAAACAGAAAAAATGAGCTAAATATAACTTGCCGTAACGTACAGCATGCCTTGGTACGTACGACATGTCTCAGTACTTATAAAAAAGGAGCGAAATTATAACGACATAGTTGCGTGGCGTTGCAGTTTTGAATCCAAAGAAACCCGGAAGAAAAACCCAGTCAAAGCGCGACAGCTGACAGCATGATGGTGCTTCATGAGAGCTAAATGTGGCAACGCCCAGCGGAATATAGAAATAGAGTGTCCTCAAAGCATTTTGGATCGAAGTCCGGGACCCAAGGTTGATCAGGAGAGGAGAATGTCAGCGAGAGCAATCCCATATACCAGGGGGGGGGGGGGCAATAAAAAAAGTCACTTCGATTGAGTAACATATCAGCAAAGTTTTCGCAGCCCAGACAGAGGACGTGGATAGGAGTACCAGAAGATACGGGAGATGTTTCTCGATAAGAAGGAGCTGGCTCTTGTCCATCAACTTCATGTACACCAAAATATGAAGTCATCTCCAGTAGCAGTCTGACTGGAGAAGACCTTTGAAATTCACGTCACCTCCAAACAGCTGCGAAACTTCTAAAATGGAGTCACCCATGGCTACCTGGAGACCAGTACTCTCGATCTGGAAGACCTCCAATATCGAATAGCTCCGACAACGTCGCCACGGTCCAGATATCATCTTCACCGCAGTATCCAAGGCGATGGTATGGGCCGGGTACCTGGTATGGAAAGACCTATATTTTCTTCGTGGACTCCGGACTGAAGGTGAGCGCTGGCGGTTACATCGAGCAACTCGAGAAGAATATCCTCCCCACATGTCGTCGCCCGTACCTTCTTGGAAACTTTGTACTGCTACAGCATTGGGTGCCACCACATGGAATCGAGGGCGTTGGAAAAACTCTCGCCTACTTGGAATGGAAGGGCGTTGAGTACCTGAAGATGGAATATCTAAGCAGGTCACCTGAACTGAACTCCCTCAATTACCGGGCCAGCGCGGAGCTCAATAGGGTGGTCTACAGTGGCGGAGAAATCAACGATCTCTCTGATCTCAGGCACCACATCGCGGTCGCGTGCCAGAATCTCTCGATGGCACTCGTCCAGAAGGCGTTTCATGATAGTATTTAATATGCTCTTTAAGATGGTGGTGGAAATGTCCGATCAGAATTTAATAAAGTGTAACTTATAGCGCCTCGAAAGTCAAGGAAGAAAAGTGACTTTTTTTGCCCCCCCCCTGTACAAGCGTTCCCAACAGGATCTTGGATGCATCGGTCCTAAAGCTTCCTGCAACTGAGCCACTCATAGCTGTTCTAGTGGATCTGGTAAGGAACGGTATTTTCCTCTTCCTATTGTTGACGTGTCGGTTATGATGGGACCGAAGGTCTCTGTGAGGGAGTGAGACATTTGGTCGAATAGTTCATTGATCGATTTCTGTCCTTTCAGGCTTCGGAGAAAGTGAATTCAACGAAACATCAGTCACCTACTGAAGATCATTTCCAACCTCGAGAGTAGTTTAAGGAAGAACAACTCACATCAAAAACAGATTGCTTCGACCAAAATCATTATTAAGACGGCAATTTTCCTGCAGAGGGCAAGACATTTCCATTTTGAAGCCGAGGAAGCGCGCATTTACAGTTATAAACCTCGTGCTCAGAAGATGAGGAGTGGTCCTACTTCGTTTTTTTTTCATCGGAACGAGGACGATGCCTTTATGCGCTACTGTTCTGGTGGTGTGCGATGTACTCATGTCTCTCTCTAGCATCAAACAAGGTGACAGTGGTCTTACCGCCGAATGAAGACAGTCCTCGAAAAAAAATCCAATCCAATGTTCAAAAGAATCGTGCAACCACGCCCACGTCTTGGATATATGGAGTGTACCTATCGGATAAAGCCGGGATTTTCACCCTATCAAACTTGTCGTCAATCCTGTGGTTGGAAAAAAGCGGCAGCTGTTCTAAGTTGAAACATTTTAAAGCGGTGAGAAAAAGACCATACATCGGAATGGTAAACCAAATGGGACACCAGGAGATAATGGAGTCAACGATTCCGATGTAACAGTCATCAAAACGACATGTATTGAAAAGCGATGGGTTGCGTTGTAATAAAACGCGGCTTCAAAATGCATAATCAGTGAACTTGCGTCACAACTGCATGGTTACAGTTATTCCAAACCGACGAGAATGACGTGATTCAAAACTGACTTTGATGGATGTTTTTCAACAGAAGCACAGTTAATAATCATCCAAGCTCGCGGGGCAAAACTAGTACCACCCTATTTGTTTATCCCACTGAACTTCGTAAACAACATCATCAATAAGAAAATTGTAACTTATATTGTGGTAGACGGCCACGAGAACGTTTTTCACCGGTGATCTGAAGTTTTACTATGGGCTTCCATCTCGAACAAACCCTGCTATTGCATATTGTGGATAGTGGCGTTCAGCTACTATACCTATACTCGCTAAATACTCTTCAGGGAATAGAAAAGCAAAAAAGTCATTCAAAACACCCTAATGACCATCCCCCCGTCGACGGCCTCACTGTACGAGTTCTCCGGACCAGCTCGTTTCATACCAGCAAAGTGATATCCTGCTGCCTCTGGTCCACTAATCGTTTCTCCACGTCAAGCAATGCTAATACCATCTGACAGTGAAGCAAAAGAAAACATGGTGTAAAAGCTGAACTCTGGACAGAAAATAGCCTTTGAGATCTGATGGGCGGGACAACTAAGGAGGTGTCAGACCTGCCCCCTTATGATGGTCGCAGTGCCTCTATTACTGCGATGCCTCGACAGTGGGACAATCGTAGAGAATGAGGACTAGACTGGCTAGACAAGGAGATACGCCTGTGAATCAGCTGAGCGTGGGGACTGTCTTTGAACCAAGAACCACATGAGAGTTTGATGAAATGAACATGAATGTACTCAAACCTTGAAATAAATGGCAAGGTAATTAAAGGGAGAATAAAGAAAAAAATGAAAAGAAATGGCTTTTTCTTCACATGATAGTTGAAAAAATAAAAAATTGAAAACTGTGAAATCATACAGAAGAAAGTGTGGAGTGAAAACAAACCGTTCTAAAACTTTGGCATCACTGGCTGTTTCATAGTTGCCAAGTAAAAGGTGAGGAAGAATCTTGACAGGGAATACTTGCCGCTTGTCGGTAGCAGGAGGAGCACCAGCAGGATCGATACGAAGAGCACTGAACTACCTGGTCTAGTGATGGCAGTACTCTCTACGTGATTGTTTTAACACACTTCAAATTGAGACATCCTACATCACCCGACGATCGAGCATTGGGCCGATCTTCGTCGACTTTTAACAACGGGAACGATGAAAGAACCGATTCAACAGGATCTGAACAAGGAATCTCGCGAATTCTGAGAAATACAAGAGATTCGAAATGAAAGTACAAACCGTCAAGAACTCGGTAATGGATATTTGCCTTCCGAAGTGCATTCGAAAGCGCATTATAAATATCGGCATCAGACCCATGTTCTGGTACAATCACTACTTTCACGTCCGCATCGTTTAATCGTGGGGATAACGTGGATAGCGATAATGAGCAATTAACCAAACGCCGGTACAAAACCTTTGGGAGGCGAACCCTGAAACAAAAGAGTAAGTGAAGTAAAATTTGAAGATCCCATGTCAAAATTCTTTCCGCCGGCGCTATACTACAATGGGGGCATGTGGCAACAGTTGAGGGGGGGGGGATTTGCGCATTAGCTGCTTCACTGCTTCCGGTTTACAAGTTTCACCCTGGAGAAACCTGTAAATTCTTGTGAAACTGGATAAACTCGCCCAACAACCATCCTAATTGTATTTATATGGCATTTCACTGCTCTACAACAGTTGAATGGCTATCTGAGACCATTCCATGGCTCCACAAGATTTCAAAGGTCCCTTCTTGATGGCACGAACATCGATGGAAAGCAGCAAGAGCTCTAAATACCCCTCCCCTCTCCCACCTCGTCGCGGAACTGCGCCCTGCAGACGTAATCGTTGGACTATAGCATCACACCCTAAGACACAAAGCCTTCCCACTTAACTTTTTTCCTTTTAGTTGACTGTACCGCAGCAAGAATGCAAAGAAGCTCCCATTTCGTTCAGTTCATTTATGTAACACTTGTTCAATAAAATTGCATACTTTCGAATTAGATGTATTGTAATATTTTTTGGGAAATATTAATTAATATTAATATTCGCACTCTGTTCTTTTTCCTCCTATCCACATTTAATTTATTTACTGGATATGGCATGGTAATAATTTGAAAGAGCAAATTGGGTAGCACCGGCCTACATTATACTCATTTTGACCTGAATGATTTTCGCTGCTAAATATTTGTTCAGAACATAAGCAACCGCAAATATGCGCGCAAACATGTACTACGACTCCAAACGGCAAGGCGGCCTCTGCAAATAGCCGGTCATTGTGCAAGGTCCTCGGTTGAAACTTAGATGAGACAAGGCTACTGCAGCGGATGATTCTGTCGATTTCATCGCTGGGGGGGGGGGGGGGCTGAAACCCTCACGAATAAAAATAAATGGCGAGCGAGCTCCGACCGTGGATCAAGGCGTTCTCAAGGAAGCATGAGCTGAAGGGAATATGGCTTTGACGAAGAAGACGACGAGGAAATTCGGAGTGGCACCAAGTTTACGATGTGACCAAGGCAACCTACACATGTGACTCAAGCAACCTACACGACGACGTTCGGCCGACACAAGGATCGCCCAGTAGGAGACAAAGTGTGAGGGGGCTTCGCTTCGCATCGCCATTGCCTCATTTGAGTGCCATTTGCTCCGGTCCATGCGCGCTCCTCTGCGAAAAAATTCAAAAATATCAGGAAAATCAGTCAGTTTCACCATCTGCTCACGTCCAGAGCGAGTTTTGACAGAAACGCTCGTGATTACAGGAGAAGATTATGTTTACATCAAGTTCTTTTGTGTGCTAAAACGCTCACAACCTTATTATTTTTTGATAAAGGGAAATCAAATGCTCTTACCGCAGAACCTAGGATTTCGTAGAATACGATAGTGGTCAATTGTTTCCGACCCCTCAATTTCGCCGGATTTTCATGAGCCGTTTCACAGTTCAAGAAAATCGGTCACCGGTCGCTGAGACGTTGGGCAAGGTAAGGCGAACTTTTCAGACAGCAACTAACACCCATGAGAACCGCGGCTACTATCCTTCAAATCCCGAAACCGCCCTTCCAGGCGTGGAATCACCCTGAAGAAGTTGACGGCATGTTCATGGCGCGGATTCCGATTGAAACTCGAGTTGTGAGCCTGGCCAGCCCTCCCCAGGCACAGGTCACTCTTTGGCAACCTCAGGAAGTAAATGAAGCGAAGGGGTAAGAGGGGACCAAGGACTGCTTAGAAAAACCTGACATAAGCTTGCCCAGCGTTCCAGTGAATCGACCGAAAATAGGCTCGACAAGATCAGGCGAAATAGGCGTACAGGAAAACAAACATGAGCATACAACTAACTAACTTCAAGTTTCTCTTTCATTTGATATGTCACATTTGTCTTTTTCGTGCTAAAGTGCTAAAATATAGCCCATTATAAATTTTGGAGTAGGGATTGAGGCAGCCTGGGCCTCTTTTCTAAACTGTGTGAAATCTGCACGAGCGCCTATGTTACAACTTCTTTTTTCGTCTAACTCCCTTATGTAGTCCTTTTCCGTTTAGTCCACCCTGGCCCACTGATGAGCTTTGACGAAATAACGATGGTGCCCCTGGAGGTGAAGCGAAAGGGACCATCCGTGGATTGGAGTGGTTTCTTTTTCCAATCATTTGTTTTTCCTTTTCTAAGTATAATATTTGCAGATACCGTATGCTGACAAAAAAAAACGATTGCTAGGTGCTTGCGGCTCCATAGTACTATAGTGGTTTTCTCTAACAATTCAGTAATGAGTCACCTGTTTGCATTTCGTATAGCAGATCCTCCTTCGCGGCAATCCAGTATGCAGGTGGAATGTGGCTCTTTGGTCATCAATTGTTCCAGCTCTTTACCACTTATATATTCTTTTCTTTGAAAAGATGTTGATGGAGATGGCGTGCTTACCATCTCTAAAAAGAAGAAAAATATTACGGATAAACGGACGTGAAATACGTAAACATCGAGAGTCGCAGAGAAAAATATGAACGACACTGTTGTCAATAACGTTACTCGAAACACCACCTAATGAGCAATCGTTAATGTTTCTTCTTCGAAAATCATAAACAGCTGTCTATCAGATAGTTGGGGAAAAGTAGAAAAAGTGCCCTCGTGAATCAAATCCTATAAAAGCAGCATCATTTCGGATCATTTCGTTTTCAAATTCATCAATTCCGTTTCCGAGCGATTTTACGAACACAAATTTGGTTCCAGTCACGTGCGAAATAATATTGACGAAAGTCATTCTGCGGATAAAAATGGAGAGAAAGTGGTAGAGTAAACATTGCCGACGTTCTATAATAAGCAGAGAAGAGCACCGACCGGAAGTGTCCGCCCATTTTTCACCCACGCATGGCGGGCGCAACCCACAGCCGGGCATCATTACATTACGAACCAAGGCAAACACCCATAAAGCTAAGCAAAAGAAATATGGCTAGCAAAAAGTAAAAGAAAAAGCGAGTAATAAACCACCGAGATTCACGTAGCCCTCCATCTGTCAACTGGATGTTCCCTCGGTGGGAGGGCTCAGAGGCATTTTTTTCCTTGGATATTTCTGCCGAGCTCTTGGAGGGAGATAAAGAAGAGGGAAGCGAGAAAGAACGAAAGGAAAGAAGAAATAATGAACGAACATGGAAAAAGGAAGGACGAATTCGCCATTGACAGAGATCCTTGGACCTAGCCGTCCATGATAGCAAGGACCGCAACTGCACAAGAAATACCCCATGACCCTGCAAGGAAACTGCGCCGACAGCCATGACATCCATAATCGGGGCACGTTCTAATTCGGGTAATTCCCAGCGTAGGGTGGGGTCATATTTGGTCTGAAGAAAGTCTTTTTGGCAGTTGATTTCTCCTACGTTACCTGCTGGTTGGGAGAAGTAAGAGGTGGGGGGGGGCGTCTTTGCCTTAAAGTTGATACTTCGCGGTTGTTGATACTTCCTTTTTTCCTTTTTTTTGATGGGTTGGTGGTATAACCCCTGCCCCCTCCCCAGCTCGACGGCAAAGCCCATTTGGGGGGGGGGAAGTGGAAAATTTCGAGTTTTTTTTCTTCAATCCCAACTGTTTAGTTGACAATATGGTGAGGTGGATGGGATTGGGAAGGGGGAAGGGGGTGGGTGCTTTGCGGCGGAGAGATGTAACGAGTGTCCGTTTTCCCGAAGTTTTCCAGAGGCGGGCGGGGGGGGGCATTGGTTGGGGGATTCTGATCAAGTCTATGCAACCCCCTTTTTTTCCTTTCCTACCTACCTCTTTCTTCCCAGCTCCCTACCAGTTTTTCCGGAATTTCTCGATGACTTTCCTACTTTTTCCTCAAAGTCTTGCTGTTGAGCGGGTAGTAGCACATGTAAAACAGAAAAACCGCAAAAAAAATCAACAACGGGTGAAAATTTTCTCTGACGCTGCGATTTTCTTTCAGAACGAAAATGCGATGTACGGAGTGGTCGGCATCCCTTATAGCGCCCGAGAAACAAGAAAAATCAGCTATCAAAAAAACATTTTTCCGGCCAAGTACGGCCTGCTCCCCCAGTGACCAAGTACGACCTTCGTGTTGGACAATGATTTGTCCTGCAGCAGCAGGACGTGCTCTGACCATAATTTCCGGTGGCGGGTGCTTTCCAAGGAAAAGTTTTGTAAAGCTGAAGGTAGGCGAGCTCGTGGCAGCCATCCAACAAATCATGTCGCCAGGAACTCGTGGAACAGTTGTCGAGATTAAGATTACGAGGACAGGTTACCTGGGCAGCTGCCCGGCGGGGGAAGATTGGTGAATCAACTTTGATGATTGGTGAACAGAACGAAATGATGGGAACAAAGAATTCGTGAACACATGGGAAAAAGTCCGTGAAGATGAAAAAACAAAAAAGCGGAAGTGAGCAGAGCGATGAGACAGCGCCTATTCGAGGGAAAAGCTCAAAAGTGATGACATTTCGAGCAGGACGTGGAAGTTTAGTCAACGATTAATTGCAGCAGACGATCATGACGATATGATTATGCTCCCGTTGAGACGGGCAGGTCTCAGCTGCCACTCTTCATTTGGATGAATTCCTTCCAAAACAGGTTTTTAGGCAGGAACGACCAACAAAAAACGCAATAGCGGCACATAGGTGGTGGTTCCGGAATGCCGAGGGGAAATGTCAATGCATCGTGCGGCCTTAACGACGTGGGCGGTGTCTAGGGCAACTTCAGTCAGGCCGACGGGCCCCGCCGCCGTACGCAGTTCGATACCGCCTCCATCGTCGATGATCGCCAGCACTAGCATTAGCTTCTGCCACGAGACCAATGCTCAAGTCACTCGTGCACAACAATCATCAACCATGTGACTTGTGGGAAGACTGAGAGCTCACAAAACTCATTACGTCCTGTCAACTTCTCATGCTAATCTATGTAAATTCGTCGGAATGGGAAAAAACGAAAGAGTAGTAGAGTTGTCGACGGATTTCCAGCTGAACTTATACTTTTGGCATGAAGGGATGCCTACTTTCTGAAAGATACACATGGAGCGGGGCATAGGGAACTCTACGTGTAAAAGTGGGATCACCCAAACGAGAAGCCCATCAAGCTAAGTCGAAAAAGCGGAGGAGGCACATAGGAGATTCCTTGTGTAGAGATTCAGGCCGACGGGCGACAGAGATATACTGTAGAGAGGAGAGAGGCGAAAAAAGCACTTTTCTTCCTCGACTTTCAAGGCGATATAAGTTACACTTTATTAAATTCTGGTTGGACATTTTCACCATTAACACACTTCAACACTTTTTTCAACAACACATTGTACACTATCACTATACTCCGCCACAGCCTTCTGGACGAGCGCCATCGAGAGATTCTGCCACGCGACCGTGATTCGGTGCCTGAGTTCAGCGAGGTCGTTGATTTCTCCGCCACTGTAGACCACCCTGTTGAGCTCCGCCCGAACCCGGTAATCGAGGAGGTTTAGGTCAGGAGACACACTTGGGTATTCCGTCTTCTTAAGGTACTCAGAAAGGGTAAGGCCAACGCCCTTCCTTCCAAGTAGGCGAGAGTTTTTCCAATGAATCCCAGTCTAGTACGAAGTTTCCAGGAAGGTACAGGCAACGACATTCAGGCAGGATATCTCCTCGAGTTTTCGATGGTGTACCGTCAGCGTTCACCTGTGATTCCGGAGCCCTTATGAAGGAAAATATTGCAATCGCGGAGCTTCCACGAAGAAAATATCCGTGCTGTGTCGCTTTCAGGGAAACCTCCCGTTCATACATCAACCTTGCGCCTTGGCGACTGCCGTGAAGATATATCCTGGACACGGTAGCGATCTCTGCCGCAGCTGCTCGATGTCATGGATCTCTTCACATCGAGTAGTGCGTCTCAAGTAGTGTTCATGGGTCACTGCCATAGTCGTTCGCAGCTAATTTGTAGATAGACATGAATGCCCATATGGCCTGCTCGCGTCAGGCTGCGATTGAGAATGACTGGTCATATTTTGGTTACATGAAGGCGGATGCGGGCGACGAGCCTGCTCGTGCTGGCCAAGGCCAACATCATTCGGGTGATCTTTCACCTGATACACTTTACCACGCCGAAAACTTTACGATACGTGGACTGGACCGAAGTGTTTCTTTTTCTGCCCCCGCCCTTATGTGCCCTCCGTGGCTCTCTCCGGCGTATTGCCATGAAAGAATCCTTTTCTCTGTAACATAGACATGGGATGACGAGGGGCGCATAGAGAACTTTTCATGTAGAACTGGGATCATCCTCACAAGAACCCCTTCAAACTAAGTCGGCTAAGAGGGGGTTATTCTTTTTTGTTGGGCGGGAGGGGCAGTATGAGGAACTCCGCAGTAGAACTGGGATTCAGCCATGGGGCATTGGAATGTAGAGATAATTTTCTTTTGGCCGTTGAAGCCAGTGGCGAGATATGTACAAACACATGAGGGCACATAGGGAACTTCTTGTGTAGAAGTAGGACTACCGCAACGAAGAGACCTTCAAACTTATAATAAGTCTAAGAAAGTTGGTGCACTCATCGATAAAGGGAACATTCATAATTTTTGTGCTCAATAGTATAATGTGTAAGATAATCTATCGGTTTCAAACGTCCCCATTGTCTACGCCCGGTGTGTAAACTGAACCTCTGTAAATATAAATTGGTTAATTCGCTGTCTGAAGTTGCCGTTTGGAGGATATATTTAATATATATCTGAAAAATGCCCCGAGGTGTATACACACACGAATCTCTAGCCTGAGGAGAGAATTATCCCTCCTTCTACACCACTTCATCAGGGAGGGGCTATAGGGAAGACTCCTTGTGTAGGGCGTGAGAGTTGAGGCCGACTCTGGGGGCAGAGCGCTACACTCATTTGGGGCTAGCTGTGCTTTCGGAAGATATATACTTGTGACACACAAGGGATGCGTACATTTGAAAGATACTGAAAAGTGTATAGCATAAAGTATCGCGGCCGGTTGAAGATAAGCCTATGTCTGGGCACTAAAACGGTAAATTGCGCCACAAGTCACCACTTTATAACCAAGTATGACGCAGGTCGAGTTTCTTACCTCAACTTGGAGAGTGTTTTGTGTCTTCGAGTTTTGTACGACTACACCAGATTAGGCGTTTTTGGATGGCTTCTAGCCATATGTACACGTCAGTGTATTGTCGTTGATGACCTTTACCTTTATGGGCGAATGAAGTGTTGAGAAGTGGACATTGCCAGATAAGCGTAACGCGGCCGCAGCTATGGGGGGATGGGGAGAGTAGAGAGCGTGTCGTGGCGGTAATAGAGCGTGGCGAGCTGAAGAACGTGAGATTTCCCACCAGAGCTCGCCAGGCGTAGCGTGGTAAAGCGCCACTTGCCCGCTGCCACCACCTCAACCTTCGACAGGGTACAAAAATAGTGATGCATTCTCTCACGCTGATGCATAATTCCAGGATGTGGTGTAGGGAG